TGGCCCCAAGAAGCGCCCAGGAGGCACCAAGAGGCCCCAAGATGGCCCCAAGAAGCCCTCCGGAGGCCCCCAAGAGGCCTCCAAGAGGCCCCCAAGATGCCCCCAAGAGGTCCCCAAGAGGCCCCACGAGGCGCCGAAGACGCCCCAAGAGGCCTCTAAGAGGCTCCCACAAGACATCTACTACTACTTCTACTCCTACGACCACCACTACTACTACTATTAATACTCATACTAGCATCACTATATCATCTCCTACTACTATAACTACACCTACTGTGACGACTACTACTAGTTCTAGTCCTACGACTACTACTCCTACTACTACTACACCTACTACTACTGCTACTACTACTCGTACTGCCACTACCACTGCTACTCGTACCACTGCTACTAGTACTACTGGGACTACTACTCTGGCTACCACTGATACTAGTACTACTGGGACTCCTACTACTGCTGCTCTTAGTACTAGGACTACTATCACTACTACTGCTTCTAGTACTGCTACTACTACGACTATTACTACTACTTCTACTGCTACTACTCCGACTTCTACTCATGGTGCTACGGCCACTCCTACTACCAGTACTACTACTACTACTACTACTACTACTACTACTACTACTACTACTACTACTACTACTACTACTATTACTACGACTACTACTACTACTACTACTACTACTACTACTACTACTACTACTACTATTACTACTACTACTACTACTACTACTACTACTACTACTACTACTACTACTACTACTACTACTACATCTACTACTACTACATCTACTACTACTACTACTACTACTACTACTACTACTACTACTACTACTACTACTACTACTACTACTACTACCAGCAGCAGCCCTTTGGGCGTGAGTGGTTTAGAGAGCCCGCTCTGTTCTCAACCCCCATTCTTCCCCTTCGGGGAGGGGTTTACCCCTCCCCCTACCCCCTCCCCCTGGACCTGGAGAGGGGGTTTCGCGGGTCGTTGGAGGGGTCTTTTTCGACTCCTGGGAGGGCTAAAAAACGACACCCCTCACGAGGATTCTGGCCCCGACGGGGGGAGGCAGAAAAAAACGCTCCTCTTCTTTGAAGCCAAAATCATTGATTTTACTACGGTTTTGGCCCCATGTTGGCCTTCTGAGGGGGCAGCGCTCATTAAAGCTCCCCTCTTCTTTCAAGGCAGAATCATTCATTTTACGAAGGTTTTGGGCTCATGTTGTCCTTATGAGGGGGCAGCGCTCATTAAAGCTCCCCTCTTCTTTGATCGATTCCCTCCAAGATGGCCCCAAGAAGCGCCCAGGAGGCACCAAGAGGCTCCAAGATGGCCCCAAGAGGCCCCCAGGAGGCCTCCAAGAGGCCTCCAAGAGGCCCCCAAGATGCCCCCAAGAGGCCCCCAAGAGGCCCCAAGAGGCTCCCCCGAGGCACCCAAGACGCTCCTGGAAGCCCCTGGGGCCGCCAAGAGGCCCCCAAGACGCCCCAAACGGCCTCCAAGAGGCTCCCAAGAGGCCCGAAGAGGCTCCCCCAAGGCACCCAAGACGCTCCTAGAAGCCCCTGGGGCCGCCAAGAGGCCCCCAAGACGCCCCAAAAGGGGACGAGGTGCCCGAACGCCTCACGCCACGAGGAGCCCGAACGACTCACACCAGGACGAGGGGCCCGAACGACTCACACCACGAAGAGCCCGAACGACTCACACCAGAAGGAGGGGCCCGAACGACTCACACCAGGACGAGGCGCCCGAACGACTCACACCACGAGGAGCCCGAACGACTCACACCACGACGAGGGCCCCGAACGACTCACACCACGAGGAGCCCGAACGAGTCACACCAGGAGGAGGGGCCCGAACGACTCACACCAGGACGAGGGGCCCGAACAACTCACACCACGAGAAGCCCGAACGACTCACACCAGGACGAAGAGCCCGAACGACTCACACCACGAAGAGCCCGAACGACTCACACCAGGAAGAAGGGCCCGAACGACTCACACCAGGACGAGAAACCCCAAACGACTCAAACCACGAGGAGCGCTTTCTCTCCCTCCTCCTCCGCCTCGTCCTTCTCCCGCTCCCACCACAAGGAGGATGTACAAGGAGGCGGGAGGAAGGAGGAACAGGGGAGATATGCGGGGGCAAGCGGACACACGCCTGAAAAACACGACTGTCGGCATGCTTCGCAAGAGTTGCTGTTGTGAGATGGGCTGGTGGGGATACGCGAAGCGTAAAGAATTTCGACGAGGACTCAAATGACCCTGATATGGTACAGTTGGCGGCTAGGTACGCAACCATATAATCAAGATGTCTCCACGCAGGGTCCCCAAAATTCCTGAAAACGCACGTGCGAGTGTGATGCTGGCTGCGATTGCCATGAATCTGGCTCTGAGAAGACGTGGCCCAGCATTGCACCAATGTTACCTCAAGATGACTCAAGCCGAAACCCGTCTGGCTTCTAGATGACTCATACGGTGCCAAGGAGGAGCCCAAGGCAGCCCCAAAATGTTCAGATTCGCGGCTGGCGTCAAGAAGACCCTGCGTCGAACATCCCACCGCTTGAAAACAAATCTGTAACAACATCCAGAACTGATTTAGATTTGGGCCGCGCATGTTCCCAGAAGCTGCAAGGGCGTGCCGTAACTCGTGACACATCAAAAACGGCCAACCATATAAACTTAGGTACTCGAGGTCCAGATATACGAAAGACTACGATAACGTGCACTGGAGGCTGCAATTGCATGGAACCATCTGAAAGCATGTTGTTTAGGTCGGGAGAATGCGAACACATCTGAACACACACCGTTGTGAGGTCCCGGTCTCGCGCGTCCACAGCAAGATGAATGGACCTGCTTTTGGAAGCACCTCCTGGTCGAACGTGCGCCAGACCCAGCGTACGTGCGGCCCTGAGGAGAGGCAAATGGATGAGAGCCCTGATGACGCGGGGCACAGTGGGGCTGGACCTTGGTTCACCTGGTTCGTTCGTCGTCGTCGCCGCCGCCGCCTCCGTCGTCGTCGGCGTCGTCGTTCGTCACCGCTGCCGCTGCACGCTAACTACATGTCGCAACGATCGGCTTCGAGGCCGCGAGCGCCTTTCCCCTCTTGCGCGCCGCCAGTGCTCGCCGGGGAGGGACAGGGAGGGGGTGGAAGAAGGGGGCCGTCGCCGTCGTCGTTGTCGTCGATGTTTTTGATCGATGCTGGACCGACTCTGCGTCGATGTAGATTTTCCCGAAGGAGGGTTGCGCTCGATTTCCAGGGTCGGGACTTCCGGGGACGTCGTCCCGAAAGAATCAGGACGTCGCATGTCTGGGGCAGGATCCTGCCAGACCCCCGACGTAATGATTTTTTCATGACGTCGACCCCCAGAGGTCCCGACCCTTTCCCCATGACCGGCTTTGCATCCTGAGTCGTATTTTGACACTCCCGAGGCCTGGTGAGGGCCCCCGGAGGCCGAAAATTAGGAAAAACCTCCCGTCATGATTTTTTCATTACTCGAGGGGGTCTGGGCTGCAGGATCCTGCACCCGAGCCCGGGTGCAGTGAACGCCTGGCCCTGCAAGACCCTTGGGGAGACCAGACGGTACCCCTACCGCTGCTCCCCGGACCTCGCCCCGAGTGCGTTCCGGCCAGGACTTCGAAGCAAATCCAGCGGTGCCGACGAGGGCTGCCCGGGAGGCCCAAAAAGGGAAAGCCGAGGGAAGGGCAGAGGTAGGGGTACCTTTCCGTCCTCCGAATCCTGCAGGATCCATCCCTCTGGCCGACCCCCGCTTGCATCGAACCCCCGCCTCTGAGCCCCGAGGGGGGCGGCGCAGGGCGAGAGCCCGGCCTGCGGGCCGGGGTCGAAGGTCGGAGAGGAGGGGGGGGGGAGACCACGTCACTCGGCGGCGCGCCCAGGGGTGAAGTGCGAAGGATGGAACAGAAAAAACGGCACAAACACTTCCCCCCCCCGCCCCCCCCGAGGGGGGGGGGGGGAAGTGCGCAGGGGACCACTTCCCCCCCCCCCCCCGAGGGGGGCGGGGGAAGTGCAAAGGATAGGAGAAGAAAAAAGCCATAGACATACACTTTTGGCGTTCCCCGCGGACTTCTTGGATCTGCGCTGGACCCCCCATCCCTGGCGCGTGGAGCGCGCCAGGGGCGGCGCTGGAGGCGCCGCCAGGGGGGGCCAGCGCGGATCTTCGAAATCCGCACAAAGTTTTTGTTAATGGCGTTTTGTCTTCTTCTAAAGGAGAAGACCTTGTCGGAAGGCTCGGAAATCTATTTCGGAAGGCGAACACCTTCTCAGAAAGCGGAGTCTTGTAAGCCTTTTCCGGGAACGCAGAAAACCTCTCAGAAGGCGCGGAGGTTTCCGAGAAGCCCCGCCGCCTTCTGCGACTCGGAAGCCAACTGGCCTTCTCAGAAGGGTCGGAAGCCCCCTGGCCTTCTGCGAAGTTGTCTTGAGCTCTCCCCGGAGACGCGGAAGGCCTCTCAAGAAGGCGCGAGGGCTTCCGAGTAGCCCCGCCGCCTTCGGAGGAGGCCTCTCTCCGCCTCACTTCCCCCCCCCTGCTCGCCGCCGAGCCAGACAAGGTCGAGGAACCCGATGCGCGGGGGAGCCGGCGGGTGTGATGTGGCAAGGGTGGAGGGTATACGCACGGAACGCAGGCAGCCCCCAGAGGTATCTCCCACGCAAGGTCGAGGAGCCGGTGCCCGGGCCCCCCTGGGGGGGGGGGGCCTCTGGAGGCCGTGGGGGCCTCCCTGCAAGTCCCGGAGACGCCTTGGGCCAGGGGCGCTTCTGGCCACGCGCGAGGGGCCACCCTGGGCCAGGCACGCCCTGGGCCAGGGCCACTTCCCCCGCACGCCCCTGGGCCAGAGACGCCCTGGGCCAGGGGCACCCTTGGACCACGGGCCGCCTGCTCGAGCTCCGCCACGCGCCCCTCGGCGACGAGGGGCGGACCGTGGGCCGAGGCTCCCTCGACACCGGCGGCGGCAGCGGGAGGAGCGCCGAGAGGGCCCGGCGCCTCCGCCTTTTTGGTTGCCGCGGGGCGCCGACGCGCGGGCGCCGCGGCTGCGGGCCAAGGCGCCCCGCGGGTGCCCCTCGAGCTGCGCCGCGCCGTCTTCGTGCGGCGCGCACAGCGGGCGCGAGGGCTTCGGCCTCGGCCGCCAGGAAAAAAAGCGGGCGCCTCGGGGCCCCTGCGCCGGGAGCGCAGGGACACACGAGCAGATCGAAAGAGAAAACCGGGGCACGAGTCGGCACGAGCACGCTCGTCGAATCCGTCACCGATGCGGTGGTGCATTCTGCAAGCGCATGGGGCTCAAGTGCTGGCAACTCGGCGCTGAAAAATGGCAGAAAATCGCCAAGCCTGGTGCTTCGGAAACAGAAGCCATCGTCAGGACGAGGACGAGAACAACGAAGCCATGTCTGCAAGGAGGTTATGACAGGTAACAACAACCTGCGACAACAGAGTACGTCTTCACGTAGCCTTGCTCAGTCCGAAAAATGGCGCCCCTAAACCTCACAAGTGATGAGGCGGGCCACGCAGATACAAATCATGCGCCAAGCTAAGTTGAGGTTGGGCAGTATTCGTGATCCTCCTGATCCTCCTCCTGATCCTGCTCCTCCTGCTCCTGCTCCTGCTCCTGCTCCTGCTCCCGCTCCTCCTCCTCCTCCTCCTCCTCCTCCTCCTCCTCCTCCTCCTCCTCCTCCTCCTCTTATTATTATTATGTTTATTCTTCTTAGTATTATTATTATTATTAGTAGTAGTAGTAGTAGCATTCGTCTTCTTATTATTCTTATTATTATTATTCTTCTAAATAGTATGAGTATTCTTCTTATTATTATTAGTATTACTCTTATTCTTATTCGTATTATTACTATTCGTATTATTCCTCTTCTTCCTATTATTGTTATTATTGTTCCTCTTATTATTATTAGTATTCTTAGTCTTATTAATAGTCTTAGTATTAGTCTGATTATTATTATTCGTATTCTTATTGTTCGTCTTATTATTATTATTCGTATTATTGGTACTCTTTTTACTATTATTATTCGTAGTATTATTCGTCTTATTCTTCTTATTAGTATTCTTATTATTCTTAGTGTTATGATTATTCGTCTTCGTCTTAGTCGTCTTATTATTCTGCGTATTGGTAATTCTTTTTCTTAGTCATCTTATTATTGTCAGTAGTGTTCGTCTTAGTGTTCTTATTATGATTATTCTTATTCTTATTATTAGTAGTAGTATTATTGTTCTTATGATTAGTAAGATTCTTAATCGTATTACTATTATTATTGGTATTATTACTAATATTATGATTATTATTAGTATCCTTCTTCTTCGTCCTCCTCGTCCTCCTCCTCCTCCTCCTCCTCCTCCTCCTCCTCCTCCTCCTCCTCCTCCTCCTCCTCCTCCTCTTTCTTCGTCCTCCTCCTCCTCCTCATCATCTTCCTCCTCCTCCTCCTCCTCCTCCTCCGCCTCCGCCGCCGCCTCCTCCTCCGCCTCCGCCT